CCCTGCCAACAATTTCAGCTAAATTCAGTTTAAAAACTATTCAAACACAAAATACTTTCATAAAATTACATTTAAAAAGAGCAAAACTTCAGAGTTATATATTTATTTAAATCTTTCACTTTATTTTCTATTTCAATTTGACTGTCCATAACAGCATTGTCTCGACCAGTGTTGTGAGTTTGTAGGCTGAATACCTGTTTAACTTGAATAATGGCCAACCCAGGCTAATTGGAAATGCGTGCCTCTAAATGCATTTCTGCAACACCGTTATTACGTTCCTTACTGCAACGTTCCTTAAAGGGTTAGTTCACCCAAACATTTAAATTAGCCCATAAATTACTCACCCTGAAGTCATCCTAGGTGTATATGACTTTCTTCTTTCAGACGAATCCAGTCGTGCTGTGTGAGACACTTTATTTTGTGGAAGGGTGCTTTTTATTTCACGTCATTTGAACCGAAGCACTGCAACACCCGCTGAGTACAACGATAGAGCTTGAAAGATCAAAGACAATTTTTAATATAACTCCGACTGGATTCGTCTGAAAGAAGAAAGTCATATACACCTAGGATGACTTCAGGGTGAGTAATTTATGGGCTAATTTAAATGTTTGGGTGAACTAACCCTTTAAGGCAGTTTCAAAGTGAAATGTCCAGTGAGTGGCGCTAAAACGCAGGTTCAAGACATGACCCTGGCACATTTTTGTTACGTTGGTACAGGCACGTATTGCTGTTTTTATTACGTTGATTCCGATACGGTGCGGTGGTTCATAATTAAAATATCCAAGGAGTGTTGCTAAAAGTTAATGCTCTATCATGTTGGAAATATCCCCTACACCAAACCCAACCCTAAACCTACCTGATAGCGTTAACAAATGCAAAACTTGTATAAAAACGGCTTTGTTGATGCAACCGTGCAATTTGAACGTTCTTATATGCGGTTTTGTGGAACCGTAGTTTCACGGGATTCGTACCCGAGCTCTTCACCTCTCAAGTCGAACTCCATTCTGCGTGAGCTTTACCGAACAAACCTAATGAATATAAAAACCCATAATATGAAGCTGGATATGTGACGCTAACGTTCAAAAGTATCAGTTTTCAAATGTTGCAGCATGTTAAAATTATTTTTAATTCATAACATGATATTCCTCAGGTAGCTGTGTGAAAATTAGGCTTTATTAATCGAAACTGTAGACCTTCAAATCATACTTTGTGTGAAAAGGAATAAAAGTTGTCAGAATTTTTTATTTCAGCTGGGAACTGCAGCGATTTGTGTGTATAGGTATGTTTTTTCAGTTTTGCAGAAATGTATTTAGAGGCACGTATTTCCAATGAGCCTATGTTGATAATGGCAGATGGTGGAGGTGTAAAACTAGTCTGAAAAAGTTGAATCATTTGTTGTGGTTCTGTGTGCTGTTAGTGACACAGAAATTGCACACTTCACCTTTAAATATGATTAAATTTTGAAACAATGTAGCATTAATACATTTTTAGCTAATAATAATACTACTTTCATCTCTTTTAAACATATTTTGCTGTAATTAATCCCCCTAAAATTTTACCGTGATCAAATCCCACTTAATTTCCTCCTAAATCAGTCCAGAAAAAAAGTGCAAAAATCATTCAGATTGTGTGTGGGCTTACAAACAAAACAGAAGTGCCATAGTAATGCATTGCTTACAGAAAATAGTAAATGCAATGATTCACACACTTACAGAAAGTGTACAAGCAACTAATTTAAACCATATGTCAGCCTCATGTTAAGTATTAAGCTATTATAGTTTTTGTTTTAATTGCTTTTAATCTTTTGTTTTATTTTTTCCAGACATTTTTGTCCCGCTTGGCCTATACTTAATTGCTTTGGATAAAAGTGTCTGCTTTATGAATAAATATAAATAGTTTGGTTATAACATCTGTACCTGCTCTATTCTTTCTACCTTTCCATCCCCCAGTCACTCTTTTACATTCCCCTATACGCATGCGTGCACACACACACACACACACACACACACACACACACACACGCGCAGATGTGTGGGCCATCCACTGCCTTCTGTGTGTGTGTGTGGAAATGAAGATGTCATTACATTAGCAGTTGAATAGCAATACCCCCCACATGAATAAGAGGTGAATGAGCCCCCCATCCTGAATAGCTGCCCCCTCTGCCCAACTGTTAGTACAGTTTTACGCAGCGCAAACGATTGGCCAGAGCCCCTGGGCATGCGCAAGTTCAGCCTAGAGCGCTCTGTTAGGATTACCTCTACAGCCTCTTTAGCATGTTAAAAGAGAAGTGCTTTTCAATAGCAGAGAGGAGATTGAGTTTGAGTGGAGTGTGCGTGTGTGTGTTTTCATGCCTTTTCACTCTTTGGATGTTGTCTTGAACAAGATGTTTTCTTTATGTTGTCTTGAACAAGATGTTTTCATTATCCTAGTGTTGCCCCGCTCACATGCACAGTTGTACACAAGTTCTTGACACTTCCAGAAGCTCAGACTCTTTTTACTGTTGTTGTAGCGGCTTGCTGGTTGTCTATCCTTTTGAATGTCCCTCGTGCATTTTGTGCATGTGGTACTTATAAAAATGAACAGGAGGAGGAGAGAGATTGAGTGGCATCTGAATAGGCCCAAGCGTTTTATTGGATTTGATTTTCCAGAACTCTGCAGAGACACTGACAGGGGTTTGAGGGAAAGGTCTCTAGCGTGACTGGGGCCACCATAATTTGTCAGTGTATTTAAACCATGATATTGTGTCCCATTTATGTATTTTATTTCATGTGACCCCTTTAGTTTAGTTAACTTTTGTGTTTTTAGTTTTTCATTTGTTTGTTTTTTTGTGTATTTTGTTTTGTATTGGATTTCTTTTTGCTTTTTATTTATTTCTATTCTGTTTTGTTTAGTTTAGTTGTTTTTTATGTGTTTTGTAGTGTTTTATTATAATTTGTTTTATTTGTTTAGTGTTTTGTTTTTGGTGTTTGCTATGTTGGGAGGATTTTTTTGTGTTATTTTGTTTCAAAGTTCTTTTTGTTTTATTTTGTGTTTGTTTGTTTTGGAGTTGTTTTTTGTTTAGTTGACTGGTTTTTGTGTTTTTTTTTGTTTTCTTTTATGCTTTTTTGGTTTGTTTTTCGTTTTTTGGCATTTTGTTTTGAAGTTGTTTTTGTTTTTTTGGTTTGTTTAGTGTTTTTGTGCTGTTTTTTTTGGGGGTTTTGTTTTTGTTCTGGAGTTCTTTTCTTTGAGATATTAAAAGGTTGTTTGTTGCTGGACTCTTTTGCCACATTTGTCTCAATCAAGCAAATACATTATTTTATATTTTATATTACATATTATCATATTTGGCAACAAACCGATGAGAGAATTGTGAATCTTTTAATTTGTTGGGCTTGCAAACTTCTGATTTAGTGAAAAATAAACTCCCCTATTGTATTTGTCCACTTTATTAGTTTTAGTGATTTGTAATTGACTTTAATTGATTACAGAAGCTGATTTTGTTGACACCTTAGTTTGTTTCTTTTCCCAAGCACTTGTCAAGAACAAACAGATCACTTTTTTGGCCTCATTTAGATTTATCCTTTATCTCATGACACCATGGGTCCAGTTGGAGCTGAAAGAGTCATGGGGTCAAATCCCTCTTTTAATTACAGAGCTCCGTGGGTTCTGCGCGCCTCAGGCATACTATCTGTAGTATATTAGCCAGGAAGCAATAGCCTCCCGATTCTCGAGACTGACAAAGAAAAGAACAGATCTCCTTTTTCCCGTTCTTTTTTCTGGCTTCGTTATTTAGATGTATGTTTCTGCAGGCATTACCGGAAGCTACCTTTCTTTACTTCACCCAAGTTCATACCTCAGGGGTCTTTTTTTTGTGTAGGGATTTGATTCCCCTGGCAACAAAAGTTATGGTCGTTTACCTCTTTGAGGATGAGAGATTTAGATTTTCAAAATGCAGTGCTTATAGTAAATATGTTTTATATAGGTATGTTTAAAAAAAAATAAATGTCAAATGAGTTTACATGTATCTGCAGACATAATAATATATAGAAATAATTTATAAATAAATTTACAGATTTACACATAAATGAGATTTATATTTGTCTACAACACTAATTTTGAGTATTTCTTCATAAATCTTTCTATTTACACTACTGTTCAAGTTTGGGGTCAAAAGTTTATTTATTTATTTATTTTTTGCTCTCCAGGGCTATATTTATTTGATCAAAAATACAGTAAAAACAGTAATATTGTAAAATATTATTACCATTTAAAGTATATTATGTTTTCTGTGTGAATATATTGTAAAATGTAATTTATTCCTGTTATGCAAAGCTGAATTTTCAGCAGCCATTACTCCAGTCAGTGTCACATGATCATTCAGAAATCATTCTGACATAATGATTTGCAGCTCAAGAAGCATTCATTTTAATTATCAATGTTGAAAACAGTTCTGCTACTTCATATTTTTTGTGGAAACTGAGATATACAGTCCAAAAGAACAGCATTTATTTGAAATGTAAATCGTCTGTAACGTTATAAATGTCTTTACTCTCACATTTGATCAATATAATGCATCCTTGCTGAATGAAAGTATTAATTTCTTTTAATAATAATAATAATAATAATAAATCTCACTGACCTCAAACCTTCGAACGGTACTGTATGTTCTTTAAGATCATAAGAAACATACATCAGTCATGTGTGTCCAAACGTTTGACTGGTGCTGTGAACAAAAGTGGAGTCAGATCATGATTATACGCAGCAGTTTATCATGACCTGAAGAGTACAGCTGGATCACGTAATGTTGAGGTTTGATGTGGGAATAAAACCTGTGGGTGTGTATTATGATGTACGATCAGATTATCTCTGAGTCATGCGAGTCGTTCAGCGTGACGTGACATTTTCTGATGGTTGTCTTAATAGATTTAATGCCTGTAGTCATGATTTGTAGGTAAGATCTGCTCAGAATAAATAACTTCGATGACATAAAATATGCCTTATTATGAATTCCTTCTCTACAGGCAGCCGAGGGGGTGACCTTCATTGGTCCTGACACGCATGCCATCCAGGCCATGGGGGATAAGATCGAGAGCAAACTCATCGCCAAAGCTGCCAAAGTCAACACCATCCCAGGATTTGATGGGGTGGTCAAGGTCAGATCAACGTTTGGGATGTTTTATTTATTTCTTGATTTGTATTTTTGTCCTCAGTCTTTTCCCATCCATTACTTCTCACATGCTGTTTATCTTTAAAAGCATTTTCACAAACACTTTTTCTTTCTTTATCAAAACCATTTCCTATTACGCTTCTAGCTGAGCTAAACAAACAGCATCTTGATAAAACACAGAAATACAGTACATATGTGACCCTGGACCACAAAACCAGTCATAAGGGTCAATTTCTCGAAAGCTGCATAAATAAGCTTTCCATTGATGTATGGTTTGTTAGGATAGGACAATATTTGGCGGAGATACAACTATTTAAATATCTGGAATCTGAGGGTGCAAAAAAATCGAAATACTGAGAAAATCGCCTTTAAAGTTGTCCAAATGAAGTCCTTAGCAATGCATATTACTAATCAAAAATGAAGTTTTGATATATTTACGGTAGGTAATTTACTAAATATCTTCATGGAACATGATCTTTACTTAATATCCTTTTAATTTTTGGCATAAAAGAAAAATCTACAATTTTGACCCATACAATGTATTTTTGGCTATTGCTACAAATATACCCCAGCGACTTAAGACTGGTTTTGTGCTCCAGGGTCACATATGGGGTGCATATAATAATATACATATGTTATATAGTATATAATGTGCAGTGCATACTTTATACCGTTCAAAAATTTGTGTTTGGTAAGATTTGTTAATGTTTTTGAAAGAAGTCTCTGCTGCTCACCAAAACTGTATTTATTCGATCAAAAATACAATAAAAACAGTTTGTGAAATATTATTACAATTTAAAACCACTGTTTTCTATGTGAATATATTATAAAATGTGATTTATTTCTGTGATGCAAAGCTGAATTTTCAGCAGCCATTAATTACTCCAGTCTTCAGAAATCATTCTGATATGCTAATTTGCTGCTCAAGAAACATTTCTCATTATCATCAGTGATAACAAAAACTATTAAGTAACATGATTATTTACATAAAATGCTTTCAAATGTGGAGTGTCACAGAGAATTCTGGGAATATCAGTTTGCAGTTTTTGACTGTAAATTGTATACTACCAGTCAAAAGTTTTTGAACAGTAAGATTTTTAATGTTTTTTAAAGAAACATTGCTTCTGCTCACTGAGCCTGCATTTATTTGATCCAAAGTACAGCAAAATCAGTAATATTGTGAAAATAAATTACTATTTAAAATAACTGCTTTCTATTTGAATATATTAAAATGTAATTTATTCCTGTGATTTCAAAGCTGAATTTTTAGCATCATTACTCCAGTCTTCAGTGTCACATGATCCTTCAGAAATCATTTTAATGTTGATTTGCTGTTCAAGAAACATATTATTATTATTATTATCATCATCAATATTTAAAACAGTTGAGTAAAATTTTTTTTTAAAAAGATCCAAAGATCAGCGTTTATCTGAAATAAAAAACCTTTTGTAACATTTCACACTATACCATTCAAAACCTTGGAGTCAGTATAATTTGTATTTATTTTTTTTGGAAAGAAATGATTGAAATTAATACTTTTATTTAACAAGGACGCTTTAAATTGATCAAAAGTGATGATAAAGACATTTATAATGTTACAAAATATTTCTCTTTTCAGATAAATGCTGTTCTTCGGAACTTTCTATTCTTTAAAGAAACAGGAGTCAAAAAAATTTACACAGCTGTTTTCAACAACAATAATAATAATAAATGATTTTTTTTGAGCAGCAAATCAGAATATTACAATGGTTTCTGAAGGATCATGTGACTGGAGTAATGATGCTGAAAATCAGCTTTGAAATCACAGGAATAAATTACATTTTAACATATATTCAAATAGAAAACAGTTATTTTAAATAGTAAAAATATTTCAAAATGTTACTATTTTTGCTGTACTTTGGCTCAAATAAATTCAGGCTGGGTGAGCTTCTTTAAAAACATTAAAAATCTTACTGTTCAAAAACTTGACTGGTAGTGTACGTTGATTTGTTCCTTTTTACTTCTAAAAACTGTACAATTAACAGCATTTTACTGTACAATTACATGAAATGTCTGATTAGATCTTTTACAGTTTTTCCCTGTATATAGTACGGGAACTTAGTGTTAACCTATTACGTTTTTTTTTTTTTTTTTACCTTTAGCATTTTTGCAATATTTTACTGTTAAAATTACTCATTTTTTACAGTGTACAACAGGTTTTGTTCTTTTGAACTTTCTTTTAATCAAATAATACTGAAGAAAATCAGAGTTTCTACAAATATATGAACTGTTTTCAATAAATAATATAAGGATTTGAATTTAATAATAATAAATGTTACCTGAGCAACAGATCAGCACATTAGAATGATTTCTGAAGGATCATGTGACACTGAAGACTGCAGCAATGATGCTGAAAATTCAGCTTTGCATCACAGGAATGAATTACACTTTTACTATATATTCACATAGAACAGTTATTTTAAATTACAATAATATTTAAAAAATATTACTGTTTTGTATTAAATTTATCAAATAAATGAAACCTTGGTGAGCAGAAGAGACTTCTTTCAAAAACCTTTCAAGTATCTTACTGACCCCACACTTTTTCAACAGTAGTGTGTGTGTACATATACGTGCTTGGTTGCAAAGCTCTGAACTACAGTAAAGCTACATATCAGTCCTCTAAAGCGTCTTTAAACTCAACTCTCTTGTCTCTATTCGTTTTCTCCCTCCCCCTTCCATCCCCTCCTCCTGCATGCTGTTTAAAAGGCTTTTAATGGCCGTGTGTAGTGGCCGTTTTGACACTTCCTGAGCTGATAGGGCTCTATAAAGCAAAGATGTGCCGCATGACACTCTGATTGTATGGGCATTACCATTTGTGAACCTCCTCAACGACCCTGATAACATCAGCACACTGATCACAGTCTGACTCTCACACACACGCCAACATATCTCCTTTAGTCCCTTCTGCTGCATTTCTCACCTTAGCTTAACTTCATTTAATGCTAGTGTAGAGCTCTGCTGTTAATGTATTTTGACATCTGGTGAGAAAGAACAAGATTAAATATGACCTATTGTCACTAAACTTGCAATCTGAAAGGAATCACAGCAGCAATTTGGGCAGGAATTGTTTTTTTTTTTACGTGCAAAAAACACATAACATAGTAATTGACCATTGCTTTAGACTAAATTTGGCAGTCTTCCAAGTATTTGATATAATTTTTTTAATTTATTTTTTACATTTATTTCTCATTTCCAACATTATTATTATAATTTTTTTTTCACGAGAAAATGGAAAAACTTATGTCACAGAAATGTAACAGTGGGCCTTAACACTCATCAATTTGTAATGTTATTTATACAACAAAGCACATTAGATAATTCCTAGATTAACTTTTCAAATGAATTGCCTGTTTCAGGTATTATACAAGTATAAGATTTGAATTAGGGTTTCTTCAAGTCACTTCAGTCATTGTTGTCTCAGGTGTTGATTTATTATTATATCAATTAAAACAACCCAGTTTCAGCTACTTTCTTTTTGTTACACAATGTAAAAATTTTAGATCAAATTTAAATCCCATTTTAAACTATTGTGGATTTTTTTTTACCCTTGCCTTCATTTATTTATTTTTTCTACTTTTCAAGTCCTACTTTTGTAATTACAGATTCTATTGTTAAACTTTTGTCCTAGAACCAAGCTTTTAATTTTGAAACTGAAAATCCGTCATAAAATTATTTATTACATTCAAAATCATAATAGTGGTCTTTTAAAAAATGAACTCTTATCCAGAAGTACTCATAAGTGAAGAAACGCACATCAGTCTTTTGGTTTCATAGGGTTAAAACCATTGAACATAACTATCATCAATATGATTTGCTGATCAGGTGACTTTTGGTCAAATCTGAACATTTAACCTTCAATCACAAAATCTGCCTAGGTAATGAAAACTACTACGCTATGTTGCTCCCTCTGCTGGACAAGATGAGGAACTGAATTATCTTATGTGCTGCAGGCCATATCTCACAAACAGTTATGCATTTACTAAGCAAGGTGATGTTTTTTTTTTATTTCAGGATGCGGAAGAGGCTGTGAAAATTGCAGGAGAAATTGGTAAGAGTCATTAAAATGTGGACATTTTTATAGTAGTTTTCATCTATCAAGAATAAGGTGATGTGATATATCAAACTGAGAATTTGTGTCCGTCTCTTGAAGGCTACCCTGTCATGATAAAGGCGTCTGCTGGTGGAGGCGGGAAAGGGATGAGGATTGCCTGGAATGATGAGGAAACCAGGTGAGACGTGAGAAAAGCAGATTTAGGGATCTTTTTAAGCAGTAATAAGAACTCTAAGGTTCTTATTTAAATAGTTGTAAGCTTTATTAGACTAATTAGTTAATTAATTAAATGAATTGGTTTTAGGTCAGTGGTATGAGGAATCAGGAATGGAAACAAACGAAGTGACCAGAGCGTTGTCATTTTTCATTTTGTAATCCACGTTTACATGTAGAAAACTAAGAGACAGACTGTACATATTGCCATTTACAAAGCAAGCCCTTAGATTCGCTCTGTGTCTCTCTCTCTGCCTTATCTTTCACTGTTCTTGAGAATATTAATAAAAACTTCAGTGGAACATGTTGCTGTTAATTGTGTCTTTTATTGCCGTAAGCTGACGCCAGGCTTTTGTTTAAGCTTTAATTGGATTTATCTTGAGAGGCAAAACTCATTTTTCACTCATGCAATTCAGTGGAGACAGAGAGAGAGTGAGAGTCCTCAGGCAAATAGATGCTTATCTGCTAAAGAGGAAGCCTCTTGCCACAAATGTCAAGTTCTCCTACAACAGCCACTTGAACCGAGATCCACACAGTTTAGCCAATTGGAGTAAGATCTGGTAGTTCACAGTCAGTCATTCGTCTCTCTTTTCTCTATAACCAGACATAAATGGTAGTTAAAGTTAATAATAAAAAAAAACCTTATTATAGCCAACCATAAACAGAAGTTAACGCACAAGTAGTTGATGAATAATCAAATATGACTATAAGAACATACAATTATTCTGAACTAAAAATGTTGATTATTATCAAAAGCGATGAAGTCTTATGAAGTTTTGATATTTTGTTTCAGGGAAGGCTTTCGTTTTTCATCTCAGGAAGCACTATCAAGTTTTGGAGATGACCGTTTACTGATTGAGAAGTTCATAGATAACCCCAGACATATTGAGATTCAGGTATTTATTGGATAATCGCCACTTTACTTGTGTGTGTATATATATGAATATTTATGAATGCTTTTGTAATATTAGAATAGTAGTGTAGTCATCATGTATTTAAATTTAAAAATGTTAAATAAATTCAAATTATATTTTATTTCCTTCAAAATATCATGCCTAGATTCCAACTAGATTACATTCTTTCAGCCAGGTTAATGAGAGAGGTCCTCCTTAGAAGCTTTTTCATTAGTCTTGAAAGAATAAAAAAAAAAATTGGGAACAGAAAGATTTTTAAAATGTTTCTTTTATGCTCCCCTAGGCTGCATTTATTTAATCAAAAATATAGTAAAACTGCAATAATGTGAAATATTGTTACAATTTAAAATAATTTTTACTGACCACAAACCTTTGAGTGGTAGTGTATCTGCTGGACACTCGTAGTTATAAATAGTCCCAGCCTGGCTTATGAATATTAATTAGATGAAACCAGTCCGGCCACCCATAGTCTTAACTGATTACTGAAAAGCAGTTAAGTGGGCACTAGCTGTATTAAGACCAGTTCATTCAGTTTAAATGTGACCCTGGACCACAAAACCAGTCATAAGAGTCCATTTTTTTTTTTAAATTGAGATTTATACATCATGAATAAATAAGCTTTCCATTGATATATGGTTTGTTAGGACAGGGCAATATTTGGCCGAGATACAACTATTTTAAAATCTGGATTCTGAGGGTGCAAAAAAATCAAAATATTGAGAAATCGCCTTAAAATTTTTCCACATGAAGTCCTTAGTAATGCATATTACTAATCAAAAATGAAATTTTGATATATTTACGGTAGGACATTTACAAAATATCTTCATGGTACATGATCTTTCCTTAATATCCTATTGATTTTTGGCGTAAAAGAAAAACCTATAATTTTGACCCATACAATATATTGTTGGCTATTGTTACAAATATATCTGTACTACTTAAGACTGGATTTGTGGTCCAGAATCGAAATTCATTCTCTTGAGTGCCAACTAAAACTAAACATCTATAATATAATGATTGTTGCCCAAAATGTGGAATAGAATAGAGCAGAGCACAATGTAGTAATTCTACATTTCTCATCTTCATAACGGTTTACAGTTCAAGTTCATTTTCACCCACACTTTTGCATGTATGTGTCTGGTAGACACTTTTATCCAAAGTGACTTACACTGCATACATATTTTTATCAGTTCTTGCTTTCCCTGGAAATCGAACCCATGACCTTGGTGTTGCTAGCGCCATGCTCTAATGTTTGAGCTTCAGGAAAGTTCACAAAATCATTCTGTTTATCTTTGACTAAAGAGCTTTACCTTGTGTTGCACATTCTACTCAACTAATTATAAATAAAACTTCTAGATTCAGTAACATTCCTGGAGCGCAAACAGTAAAGCATGGCACTAGCAACGCAAAGGTCATTTGTTTGATTCCCAGAGAATGAATAAATGGATAATGAATGCATAATGGATTATGTTCTTTACAGTGACATGGGATTTTTCTGAGTGGCCACATTTCAGTTATTTGTGCCAATGGTTTCTGTTGTTGTTTGCAGGTGTTGGCAGACAAACACGGCAATGCTCTGTGGTTGAATGAGAGAGAGTGCTCCATCCAGAGAAGAAACCAGAAAGTGGTGGAGGAGGCCCCCAGGTTTGAGCAGTTTTTTTTAATCTGAAGTCAACCTGACAATTACAAGACCGTCATTGCGAAAGAGCAGGGAAAAATATGGTATATACATATGACTACACCATGTTTCATAAAAATGAATTTAAAGGGATAGTTCACCCAAAATTGAAAATTTTGTCATTAATTACTCTCCCTCATTTCGTTCTAAACCCGTAAGACCTTCGTTCATCTTCGGGAC